TTTTTTGTGCAGCTCGTCAGTGAACAACGGCAGTGTTCAGTTTAGTTCAATAACTGTAAAGTTCATAAATCATGAAACAAGTTAAATTCAAGCTAAAAGCTACTTTACAGAAGACAACAGTGTCTTTATTCAACTCCAGTCAGTTCAGAGTTGATTCAATTCAGTTGATTAAGTGTCAATGGAATAAATAAAAGCATTATGAAATACATTTTATTCAGCTATAAAGCAGTGCTGTGCTTATAAATACTACTTTATTAAGCATCAAGACATTTTACTGAAAAGTGGTATGTCAATAACTGATGAATTGCAGGTATGTCAATAACTGATGAATAGTACCTTTCTGATTAGAGGCTGAACGTGGTTGAGGTTTCGGTCGCGGCTGTGCTCCATATCCTCCCAGACATCCGCTCCCTGTGCAGGCTGCATTGGGATGGGGGCGCAATTATCAGCCTCACTGAGGCGCTCACCCTGAAGGACATCCTCTGTGTTCTCACGCTGCAGATCGCCCGGGATCACGGAGGCATTGGCCATGCTGGAAGGAAATATATTCATTTAACCATGTAGACTTCAAACTGTTTATACAGAGAAACGTTATATCATTGAATCATTGCAGATACTAGATATCTACCCCAAATATGCCGGTGTGAGGCGGGTCAACTGCTGGGCTGTGGTTGCCAGGGTTCCAACATTAAGTGTGTCCTCTGAATCTGTCCTTTCCCAGTCATACGGATCATTTTCCACCACATTGTAGCTCTTCATGCTGTTGTCAAAGACTGACATCAGGAGCTGCAACCCAATGAGAGAGCATGTAAGTGATTGTCTACGTTTACAAAATCTATGGTCAAGAAAGGCTAAGAAAGTTCAGTACCTGATAATCGGGTTTAGTGAAGTAGTCCAGGTTGGAGATATGGTCGAGGAAAACGCTAAACTCATCTGGGAGTTGTTTGAGCATGAGGCGATGGTTGTACGTCTCCTTCATATTTCCGACCTGTTCCTGTATTGATGGCAGGACTGAGAACCGCAAATCTCTTATCCACGGAAAATTATGATCAGAGCAAAACTTACTTTATCTTTGATTTTTCTCCAGGGTAGCTGACCCACCATGAACTCCACAAGCATATAAAATAAAGACCAAAGGTCATCATGTCGACCCATTTCCTTTTTAAAGAACAAGAAGAATGTGCATTTTAGTGAAATATGAATAAGTAACATGACCTGCTATGTATAAGAAACCTGACCGGCATCCGCCATTGGCTTGAGAATGTAAGAGAGAGAAGTTACCCTATTCTTGTGAGCATTAACTGAAGCATAACGGACGGTTCCTCTGAATCCTGCCACTGGACGTGGCTTTAGACAAAAAATAAAAAAAAGAGAAGACATAAGTAAACATACAGAAACACATTACAGGAATAATTCACCCAAAAATGAAAATTCTGTCAAAATTCTGACATTGAAATTTGTGTTCATTTAAAAATCTTGACTTCCACCACTACCTTTTTTGGCGCATTCATGAGAGTTTGAGATGTAACAATTCACGAACAACTCATTTAGATAATTTCTGTGACCAAGATCAACTGATTAAAAAAACATATTTAACAGATCCATTCATTCTCAAATCGTACATCACTACTTTTCTCATGAGCAATTCTTCAGCAATTGCTTGAAATTTCTACTTTTGTGCTCCACGGAAGAAATAAAGTCTGGAAGTTTGGAAAGATTGTGAGTAAATGATGACTGAATTTTCATTTTGGGGTGAACTGTCTGTTTAAGTAACACTAATATGAAATTTCATAAACATTAATTTTTAAAGGACATCTGTGATTACTTACCGGACGGACTTCTTGACATGAGTTTGTAAATTGGCGTGCCAACCCAAAATCAAGCATATAACAGGTTCGGCACGTACTGGCAAGTCGACCCATTGCGAAGTTAGACTATTTGAGGAAAAAAAAGGTTTGATGACTAGTTTATATAGTCTAAAAATAAATAATGAGGCCCTCTTAAACATGAATTATAGTCAACATTAGAAATGCTTTTAGGCCCAGGGCTGTCTGTGAGAGAGCAGACTCTGTACAGCACTCTTACAGGTTTTATGTCTCTGTGCAGGAAGCCCACAGAGTGGATGCTTTCGATGGCTTCTAAGATTTGTCGGCCCAGCCTGAGTGTGGTGGAGAAGCTGAAGGTGCCGCGGCTCATGTTGCGTCGAAGGTCTGCCAAGTTCCTTCCCTGCAGTTCAATGGACAAACATCACTTCAGGTGACTGAAATCAGGGTTGTTGTATTACGTTGAGTTGCGATAACATCCATAAATTCAGAAACAAGAATAAATAATTTGATGCCCTACCTGAAGCTCCATAACCACATAGTTGAAGCGGTCATTGCGTCCACAGCCAACAAAACGACAAACATGGTCTTTACCTATGACATGGATCAAGGCAAAAATGGTTAATGTTATACAAATCCATATATTTTTAAGTAATATTCCCCTTGTGTTTGGCAATGTATGATTGCCCATAGAGTAGCATACACACAGTGCAAAATGACTGCTCAAATATTGTTTTCATGCTTGTTTTTATATACATTAACTCATTAAAAAAAATGTGATTCTTAAATATCTTATGTTCATTTTTACCCTGAAGTTTTTTCAAAACTGCTACTTCCATCTTAAGGACCTGTTTGGGTTGCTGGGCAGACTCCACTTTCAGAGCCACATTGACTTGGCTCACCTGGTCCAGGACTTCATAGATCTCACCAAAACCACCCCCACCAATTTTCTTCAACTAGTTAGGAAAGAGACATTTTTAATGAATGACTACTGTGCAAAACATTTTGGCCGATAAGATTTCTTCCATGTTTTTGGAAGTCTCTTATGCTCACCAAGGTTGGATTTATTTATTAAAATCATAGTAATATTGCAAAATATTATCAGTAATATACTTTAAAATGTATTCCTGTGATGACTAAGCTTAATTTTCAGCAGCCATTACTTCAGTCTTCAGTGTCACATGATCACATGATTTGCTTATTTGGTGCTCAAGAAATATTTATTATTATCAATGTTGAAAACAGTCGTGCAGCTTTATATTTTTGTGGAATCTGATACATTTAGCTTCTTAGGATTCTTTGATGAATAAAAAGTGCAAAAGAACAGCATTTATGTCACTTTTGATCAATCTGATGCATCATTGCTGAATAGGCTTACTGAAGTGCGATATCAGTCCTCTATGAGGAAGTATTGGTATAACTGTCTTTTTTAATGTGTATTGTTTTTTATTGTTTGTTTCTTGCTAATGGACCTTGAGTCTAGAAATAAAGTTGAATTGAATAAAATTATAAATTTTTCAAAAAGAAAAAAAAAAAAAACATATTTTGACCCCAAACCTTTGAACAGTAAAGTACTGTATATATGTTTCCTATAACTGAGTAGACAGCTTTCAAACTTGTGTCAGAGAACAGATATTACAACAGTTCTGTTCAGGCATGAAATGCTGTCTTAAAAAAATGCCCTAGCAAAACAACACTTTTATCATGAAATAAAATGCTGTGTCTCGTAACTATTTGTCAGCATGCTGTACAGTTTTCTGTGCTGATGTCAGCACTGCTCAACACACCTGCAGTGTATCGTTTGACTGAGCTCAAAAGAAAAAACCTCCTTGACTGAGTGAATGTTTACATGAAAGAATCTGACAGCTATCAGAACATCTCTACGAAACCAACAGTGAGTATTTGAATAGTCCTGAAGCCTTGTCCTCCTAAATACAGCTCCTTCAAAACAACTCACCACTCTCCATCGCTCCCGGACCATGCTCCCAACAGCCAAGATATCAGTCTGCTCCCCGGGCCCACTCATCCTGAGGCTCAAGAGTGGACTGAGCACACTCAGAGAAGATCTACACCTCACATCAGTGAGCTCGGGTCCACGCTGAAAAGATTAGATAAAACAGATCTGTAGATTTTAAAAATGCTTCATTTAGCTGGACCTGCATGGTTACTTCAGAAATGAAAGGCTCTAGAGACGTTTGCAGACATAAGGGAGATTTACCTACAGGGCTGTAGACAAGACAAAAATCATGAAAAATGCATTTTATTGGCTCCATCCATATTCTTAAGAAGGCCTTCTATGAAGGCACCCAAACTATATCAATCTGACCTGTCCTAAGGTTGTCTTTTGAGCAGAATAGGTAAGATCTGTAGAAGAACCTGTCCTGATTCTTTTTATGACTGTCACTGCTAGGATGCAGAAACTAAAGGAGCTAAATACAGTCAAATCCTTAAGGAACAGGCTTACTGTAGGCCTGAAACAAGAATACAATTCACTATATCTGCAAGACAGTGACTCAGGGAAACATAATCTGTAAATCTACATCACAAAGACTACAAAATACTATTTTACGGTATATGCATGCTTAGTTGTAAGACAGAGAACCTTGGCTCTGTTTGAACGTCAATGATAAAATAAAAATGCAATCAATACTATTTGCTAAGAAGCTAAATTAAACATTCTGCAAGTCATGTACACATCCGTTGGAGTGGTAAATATATGCATTATCTTGAGCAATATGTTTTTCTGTATATTATGCATGTATGTATGTGTATACTGTGTGTTTTATTCTTATTGCATACACTGTCAGTTTTATACTGTCATTATTTGACTGCAATGTTGGTGAATTATTAATTGTTGCACTTGTTTATATGGTGTAATCTGTTTTTTTTACCAATTACTAACATTTTGACATACACAAAACTGTTTTAGTTAGATACATGACACAGACATTACTTGTAATTAATCTAATAGTCACTGAGTGAAACAGTTCTCTCCTCTTCATGTTTTCATTGACAACAAACAACTGCATCCACAATGTACAAACAAGAATGTGAGAGGAATTTATACATTTATGCAGAGGACAGATTTGTGAAATGAAACGGATGTCAGTTAAATACTTCTAGTAAAAACTACATTGTTTTTGAGATTAGGGTCCCTTGTGTATTACTCTAAAAAAGAAAAAAAAAATGAAACGGTGATATTTACTGGCAGTAAACTCAGTGATACTTCCATATTTTTTATAAACCAAATATACACGGACTAACAGAAGATTTTCTTGTCAGTACACAATACCCGTTTCACAGATGACTATTACTCAAATAAAATGATTGGAGATATAATGTCCTCCCAACAACAGCACATCACGTAAACAAAAACGAATGGTTTTGAAACATATAAACTGCAGGATTAAAAACTTTTAAATATTATTTTAAGGATTTTTGGTATTAAAATCATGTAAAAATGATTCCCTTTCCTAAAGTAAAAATGTGCATTCAACCATTTTAAAATCTAAGCACAACTGTTCTTTGAGACATGCCCACAAAAATTGCTGTAGGCAATAAGTAGTGATGGTTCCCAAGTGTTGAATTAAACTCTAAAACAAAAACACAAAAATGTGATTCCTTCTTAAAATGGAAATAACAGTTAAAACAGTTAAAAGCTTTGTGGGCAGCATTTTGTTCAAAGTCCAATATTAGCTCTCGTTTGCAGCTTTTCCTGCACCAAGCAGTCTCTCTCTCTCTGGGGCTGCTCCCTCCTCTGCTCTCTGCTCTCCAGGGCAGCAGGGCAGTTTGGCCATCAAGGGCTTGTGGAGTCCATTGTATAGTGCTGTACCCACGAGTAGGATGATGAAGCCTAAAATCTGTAGGCCGTGGAATACCTCCCAACCCAGCAGTAAACTCATGACCCAGATGACCACAGTACGCAGACTGTCCAGTACCATGCGAGTAGTGGCACTTATTTCCTTGGTGACGCTGATGCCGGCAAAGTTAAAGAAGGCGATGCTCACGGTGTTGCCCAGCAGTGCCAGTAAAATAAGGGGCTTATGGCCAATCTGACAGAAGGCGTCCAAAGCATCTTCAAGGACCTGCCGTGGGTTGTCGGCAAAACTTCCCACATGGATGTAGAACATTGGGATGAGGAGCAAAGTGAGGATGACAAATCCGAAAAAACCTAAGAAAGAGAAGACAACTAAGCCACTGGGAAATAGACCAGTCTCAGAAGTGTTGCTAAACTGATACGTTTTTTTTTTTAATAATCAAAATTGCCTGTTTGTCAGTAGATGTTCATCATTAACAAAGGCATATTTGGCCGCATTGAATGGGGAGGATTGAGAGTAAAATAACCTCAGATATGCAGACGCTGCTTCAAATTAAGGTATCCTAAATGGAGTCTAGCAAACACCTATGGTAATGACAACATTTGGTTCTAAGCCAATTAGCATTGTTTGTTTCATTAATCTATACTACCTTTGATTTTTTTGCTGATTTAATCTTTTTAGCAGTTAGACTTTTCTAGTAATTGATCATACATAAAGACTAAATAAATAAAAGTTGTTCTTTTGAACTTTCTATTCAACTAAAAAAGTAAGTATCATGGTTTCCACAAAAACAGCACTGATAATAAGAAATATTTATTGAGCACTAAATCAGAATATTAGAATAATTTCTGAAGGGTCATGTGATACAGAAGACTGGTGTAATGGCTTCCGAAATTCAGCTTTACTGTCACAATAATAAATTACATTTTAAAATATTACATTTTTTAAATTATATTTCACAATATTACTGTTTTTGCTGTATTTTTGATCAAATAAACACAGCCTTAGCAAGTATTGGAGACTTCTTTCAAAAACATAAAAAAAAATCTTACTGGCCTGAAACTTTTAAACTGTAGTGTGTGACATAAGATAAATTCCTATCATTACCATTATAACAACATTATTAATACATAGCATTAATATACTTATACTAATATACTAAAACTTTACCTTCAGTCCCAACAGCCTTCAGTGGATGCACATTGTGCTTGTAAACAAACTTCTCCTCCAGGACCATCTGGACTGCAACAATAATCTGTGCCATGATGATCAAAAGGTCCCCTATAAGACAAGATCAACAGAAAATCAGTCCAGTCAGATAAAGTTGCAAGATATAATCAAATAAAGAAAAAAAATCCCGATATCCAGCCTACGAGAAGATTTTCTGATTTGTAAAAGGCAAATAATCATTACGTATGATTAAAACCATTCAGCAGCAGGTAACTACTGACCTGTGATAACCTCACTGAGCTTACGGGAGTCATCCCCATGGCCGCTCAGAAAATCAGCCAGGCCAACCACCACCAGACCAATGATGGTGACTAGGATCCCAATCCACTGGCTGGGCTGCAGCCGCCGTCCTAAGAACGCTACAGACAACAGTCCAGTGAAGATGATCACAGCTCCTCGCAGCATCTGGAAACTGGAGGCACTGGTCATGTTCAGTGCTAGAGAAAGAAAACACAAGTACAGATCCTGTTTAAAAAGAATGGATGTTTCAGCTATTATAAATCGAAACTTGTCTATATATAGTAAGATAATACACATTGTTCATTTACTTATAGTGCTGTCACTGTAACGATACAAGGCTGGTTGTAAATCAGTGAACCTACCCTTTAAGAACTAAAGACTATGGACACAATATACTTCACATGTTGGAAACTCACCAACATACATGATGGATGTTCCCAACATGTCACAAAGGGCAGGGGGGAGGAAAAGTAGGGGGTTGAAACTTTGGCCCGGATCCATCGTTGGCTCAGGTTTGCGCCGATCATGACAAAGGAGAATGTGGAACACCACCAGACAGGACAACTCTCCCAAAAACATTCCCACGGCCTGGAAAGGTGAGAGTAGGAGGTGTGTGGTGAAGAAATATTAAGAAGCATGCAGGAAAAGTAACAGAGATGGGGACAAGTGATATGAAGAGGAGGACACAGAGCCGACCAGTTCTCACTTTGCCAAAACATAAATAACACTTTCAGTTCTCGGTTTTCTTAGAGGTACTGAAAACAATGTGATGAGAGGGAAGTTTGATGTGAATGGTGTGCTGTTATCTTGAGGATTGATGAAAATCATTACCTGTACAAAAGGGTGGGAGAAGGCATGAGAGCCTGTGATGAGCATCATAGCGGCGAGAAAGAGCTGATATTTTGTCCAAGCCATGGTGAGTGTGGTACTGAGTGGCCGCGAACATCAGACTCCCAAACTGTCTTGAGATGTGTCTTTCTTGCTGATGAAGTGTACAGCTATCTAAACAGGTTGTTCCCCTGTATGCAAATCACATGATGGTGATCATGTGACACACCAGCTAACGAGTTATTTCCGCAGATTTTCAAAGTTGAGGTGCACTGATCTTCTATCTTAAGGGGTCATATCTGTCTGTCACGCGACTCTGTTCCCCTTTCGGCTTGAACTGGTGGTAAAACTAATGACATTATTTACTGTCTTAACATTTATTTTGAAAGATGAAGCTCGCTATTATAGTAAGGAGCCTTACATTTCCGACGAGTGCTTGCGGTGTTTGGCCAATCACAATGCACTGGGTCAGCTGGCCAATCAGAGCAGACTGCGCTTGTCGGAAGGAGGGACTTTGTAGAAAACGAAGCTTGAGAGAGGCGAGGCATATAGGACCTACAATAATGTACAGTATTTGAAAAATAATGTGTTTTTTGAACATTAAAGCATGTCAACATATTCTGTTACACCAAATACACAAAATAATGATCTTTAAAAAAAGCATCATATGACCCCTTTAATACGATATATGAATCATATATGAGCAGCCAAGCAATCAGAACAACACAGTAGTTTGAGAAAAATTATGTATAACGTTAACTACAATGTGTTCGACTACGATGTGTTTGTTTCCTGACTTGTTGGTAAAATAAATAATAATAAAACGGATATATTTTACTTTACAGTATTAGATAAATAGCTTTTAGCTGAAAACCTTTATTTAATTCAGGATATTATACAGTGAATTCTTATAAAAGATTTCTTCGTTCCAAATGTCTGTTGGGTTATATTTGTGCGGCGTTGGAATCACTTCAATGACTCGATTCTTTTGAACCCGTTGACCTAAAAGATTCGTTCAGATTTATTCTCTGACCTTTAGCATACCAGTAGGTGGCGTCGAGTTTCTTTTGTATGTTATCGGGGACAGTGAGTCATTGAATCTTTTACACCAATTCGTTAAAAAAAAGTTGTTAACAAGTCCGCCCCTTGTTTTCTTGTTATGAACAAAAACATTTAGTTGGTCAGCATATTTTTGTTCACTAACACGTTTTGTCTCTAGACTGCAAGTTTGTCCAGGAGGTCTTACAAATGATGTAATTCATAGACGCTTTTCTCAAGACTGGAATGATGCATTTCAACTGTCAGCATCATAAATAAAAATTTTTTTTTAAATGTATGTAAATTTATAACACTATACTTTGTATCACCTTTGCATCAAATAAAAAATAAATAAAAACCTAGTGAACGCTAATGCCAGGGTTTTTCTAATGCAGTGTCTCTGGGAGGGATGGTACATTTGACATGGTTCTCTCTTCAGAATGCCATTATCAGTCTCTCTCAATTTCCCTTTTTTGAAAGTCATGAAAACACTAGCATGGAGTTTTTAATTTGCTATTTGAGCAAATGGGAATGCAAAATATATATATATTTTTGTGGTACTCTCTCATTCACTGCTCTCCCAACTATGATGACGAAATGTGAAAAAGGTCCATTATGGTCCGATCTTCACAAGAGACTTCAGGGAATGAAAATAAAGCATGAAAATTAACTAAAATGATTCGCCCACTTAAAGAAATAATGTAAAAAATAAGATTAATAGTTTTATTCAATATACATGTTGTGGCAAGCCATAACATATCATTTAAATAATACTATATATTTGTTTGCTACTAGCACTTATGTTAATTACTACTATTCCATTACTTATTCATTAGACACTAGATCTTTTTTATTAGATGGTTGTACTTATTCAAATAGTGACTAGTATTTAATTATACTTGACTAGTTAAGAAAAATAAATTAAATCAGGATTTAATGTTAAAATGACTTGCCACAAGTCAGTGTATTAAGTTAGGCACACAAGGTGACGCTGTTTACCTGAAGTTTCTTTCTCATTGCTTGAATTTGGTACATTTGTGTGGTAGAGAGCTTGATGGATTACATTTATACGTTCAACATTATATAGAGAACCAAGATGTTTTTGTTGTTGTTGTTTTTTTGCATGTCAACATGCATTTTTAACATGAATGTAATGACACTGTTAACACATCATGCACTATATCTCGAAGTCATAAAAAGTGAAAGTGATATGGAAATATAAAGGTCTCCTGTTTCACTTGGTTTCACTAATTAAATATTACACATTCCAGCAGTGCGCGAGAAGTTCTTTCCGTCCAATCACAGCGTGCGCTTTTGCGCCTTGTATCGCCTCGCCTTCAATCCGAAACGAGCTGATTGTCTGCGTCAGTGCGAACTTGTTGTGTTGATAAATAACTTTGATGGATTGATTATTTTTCAAGAGGATCCTCGAACTCTGCACGTCCTGCAAACTGTATCGGTAAAATTGCGCTTAAACAGCAGATTGTAAACAGGAAAACATTTTTGGTGTCTACAGCTGAAGAGTTCAAATGTGTTCGGATACCAAAAGTTGTTAAATCTGTCAGCCTACATGTTGGAAAGGCCTCTCGATGCATTGTGACATGGTATTTTAGCGTATCAAATGTGCGCATTTACGTCTAGGAGATTACGACAGACTGCATTGTTCGCAGTGTGTATATGGTCATGCACGCTGTTGACTTTGCCCAGGGTTGGAACAGTTTTGTAAGGTGCTGTCACCCGAACTTGACAAGTAAGGAAGGAGGACATCAATATCATACTGCTACAGTGTAAGTACGCTGCAGTTTTAATCTGTTTTCATACACGACCTGTCGTTCAATAAACCAAGAAACGCAAATTGCACAAATATGAAGATGTCGTCTTACAGGGAAGTAAGCACTGCCGTTTGCTTTGATATGCAGCATTGGTTCTACATATCTTTTTTTATATATCAAATGTTTTCACAGTAGTTGCTAGTTTGGGAGGGGTCACCAATGGGCTGAAAAGTAGTTCTGCTTGTTCTCTCTCTCCTGTATTCTTTCCCCATCTCTCTCTCCCTTTTCCCTCTTCACTTCCTGTAATTCTTGTCGTCTTGCATTGCAATTTTCATGCCCCTCCCGTTCTGTCTGCTCTTGCCTTCTGCATTTGTGTTTGTCAAGTTTCCTGCTTTTAGGCCACTATGTTCCTTCTCTACGCACAGGTCTTACCAAACAGCCATTCATTAATGATGCGAAAGGAATTATTTGCATTTAGTTTCCTGTCATTGTCTGACTCAGGTTTGACATGCTATGGCCTGTTTTCTTATCGGTGATCTGAAGTTTACTTGACAACTCTTTCTATTTATAATTCATTTGAACTGTTGTGTAGCTGTAAATTGATTCGATTATTTAGGTGCCATTCACACATGACATTCTGGTTTACAAATAAGAGCATCCATGATAAATAAGTTTATACATATGTACTCTTTCTTTTGTTTTATTTTTAAGAAAAGTTTAATTTAATGACTTGTTTACTTTAATGTTGTTGTTTGTTTTTAGTTTTAGGATGTTGGCTTCCTGATGAGACTGAGTTTTCTGGTTTACTTTATAAGTTTTGTTTATTTTTAAAAAATTATAATAAAATAATAAAGGTTTATGTGAACCTACTCAAGTTTTCAAGCTTTTAATGATGCTCTTCATTCTAATATCTGCACAGTTGTTGTACCCTAACATCTTGAACTTTATGCCCTCCATAAATATTCAAATTAATTTTAATTCAGAAACTAAAATCATCATTATGGAGCCCCTAAGGGAACGTAATGATGAAAAAAGTGAGATTTAAAAATTATATTTCAGTGCTTCTGCGTTTGCAGTTTTGTGCCCCTAGAAACTGTTCACCCGCTATGTTTCTTGGGGGAACTTTAAATGTTTTGCAATGTTGCACAAAAATATTGAAATATAATTTTTCCTTAAATCTCATACTTTGTCCCTTTAGGGGCTCTGTACATCATAGAAGATGCATTTTTTATGTATTTTTGAATAAATTATTACATAGAGACAAATTAAAATACGTGTCATGTCATTGTCCTATTTTACGTTTACATTTTTTTGTCTTTTTGTTTATTTTGCATATAATACAGACATCATTATACCCCTATTGTGATTGTTTAAAACCTTACTTTTTGTCTTTCTCTCCTTTTTAGAACATTTCCTGTGACTGAGGAATGACTGAGTTCTTAAATATTTACACCACCTTTATACTGCAGTTTAGAAGCAAGAAGGGAGGTGGGGCTCCTAGACCCCACAAAATCTTGCATGTGCTCTGCTCTGTAAAACATTTTTTTTTTCATCCAGCCTTGTCATAGGCTTACTTAAAACTGAAGTGTTGAATGCCCCAGGTTTTTACTTGTCTTATAGTTTCACACAATTGCCATGAGTCTTTCTCCACACCAGAGAGGAACCTTAAACACTATTAGCAAGCAGAATGTTGAAGCCATTGGTGAAACAATGCAGCATTCAGGAGATCTGTTCTACAACATAGGCGCTCCCTCTTTGGAGCAAGCTCACAGCAGCCCAGAGATTTTGGTGGATTCTAGCCCTGAAGTCCAGAGCGTTTACAAATCTGATAAAGCATATCAGGTCCGGGGCCATTTTCAGCAATCGGGACCAGTAAAGTGGACCCCTCAAAACCCAATGCAGACTGCGACTTGGTTTCAGGGCGTCCCGAACCTGAATAAGTGGTCACAGAATTTTGGACCTTCTCTAGGTGGTATGGATGATCCAAGAGCCTTTCACAAAGGGCATGAAATGGAGGCTATAAAGTTGGAGAAGCATTCACCAAGTTCCTCACAGTCCTACACAGACACCGCTCACATTCCCGGGGAGGATTGGGACCATCACACGATGGCAGCCATGCATCATGCTCAATATCAGGCACTCCAACAAGGTCACAGACCTGCAGACCTCCAGTATCAGCCTCAGGGAATGCATCACGATATGTCTGACTCTACTCTGCAACCCTTCCAGTTGGCATTCGGA